AAGGAAACCCAAGATCAGAGATTTATAATTTCATTTCTTTAAAAAGACAGAGTTTCATTGTGTTTTATGTTAACTCATACCAAGATATTTTTCTCTCTAGTTGCTACCTTCCATGACATAAAATTGCTGTGTCAAAAAAAGAATCCTAATGAAATGTCTCTTTACAAGTTTTAAGTGAAAAGAGTATTTGAATTATCTTGTTTCTACTGAGTGGCTATTATCTTTTATTTTCAACAGCAAACATTAAGTTTGAGTCAACCTCTTAAATACTATTTCTTATTTGAAACATATTTGTGAAATAACTGCTTAAAATTTAAATCAAGAGGGTTTTTTTTTAATAACATGAGAATTGATCTACATGGACACCATGCTTTGTTTCTGCCTGCCCAATTTTGGCAACAGCATCTCAATTTTTCTTTGGTGTGGCAACCACCCCTTTCCCACTCTTTGATCACATGGGTGGATGGGGTTACTGGCACTGACTGACTCCAGCGGTGGGCACATGACCCAAGCCTGGCCAATGAGAAGCCTATGTTGCCCTGGCACACTGATTGAGAGGGAGGCCAGTGACCCATGTCATGGCCAGGGAGAGCCTAGCCCTGGGACTTCTGATCAAACACCTAGGAAAGAAAAGCTCTTTTCCCACAGGAATTACAAGCTGGTAAGATATAAACTGGCCTTCTGCACCATCACTGCCTAAGTACAGAGCCAAAACGGAGTCAAAAATAGGAAAGCAGAGTTGCAAAACTTTCTCCCTGTCATTCTATCACCTGAATCCAGGTGTGACTAAGGTCAAATCCCTGGAGCTTTTCTGTTATGCATGCCAATAAATTCCTTTTTGTTTGTTTGTTTAGGCCAGTTTAAGCTGGGCTCCTGCCATTTCCAACCTAAAATATCCCAACACAACCTATTTGTGCCAAAGAGCAGAGATAATTCGCTGAAATAAAATAAGCATGGTTGATTTGTGAGGGTCTGTGAAAGCGGCCAAATAACATCACGCTGAATTCACTTCTATTTTGTTCTGCACATTACTGCATTGTGATAAAATTTTGAAGAGACAGAGGCAGAGAGAAAAAGAAAGGCTCACTCCCTGATAATGCACGTGAGGCTGTCTAATAGTGATTAAAGTTCTATACATCTTCTCCTGTGCTTTCCTCCATATCTCAAGGTTCAAAGCTTAACTTCTAAGTTTCTAACCCTTCTTGCCTGTTTTAAGATTTCCTTCTATCAAATGTTCTCTCCCTCAGCATAGGTGACCCCATCCCCAAACCACCCTCAGCTTTTCTGGTTCCTGCCCTTTTGTCCATAGCGATATCTACGTCCCCACACACACAACAAATAAGTAGAAAATGAACATCAGACTTCAATATACAAAATCATCGATACACACAATTAAGCAGAAATAATCACAAAGAAATGGAAGAAAATAGTGTGAAATGTTAGTGATGGGTGTCTCTGGTGGTAGAATAGCTGATATTTTCTCTCTAGAAAAAAAAAACTTTTCTGTAATTCCCAAATTTTCTTGATATTCCTTTTCTAACAGATAATGTTTTTAAAGTATGCTTTCTCATTAACCAACTATCATCTTTCCATCCCCAAACACTGTAAAATGAAAGGCCTTGACTAGCAGCTCCTTGCTTGCATGCACTTTGATTCAATTATTACTCACACCACTTGACTGAAACTACAGTCCCCCAGGGCATTAATGTGGCCATCATGCCGCATCCACAGCTCCCCTTTAGCCCATTTGACCTCTTTGGATTATCAGCCATCCCTGGGTTGAAGTTGGAAACTGCACTGTCACCCTCAGATTGTCCTGCCCTTTCCTTCCCCATTCAGCCATGCAACTAATCTCATCAATTGTACTCCAAGTGTGCTTGGGCGGCATCACCTCTCCCCCTTTCCCAGAGCTGCTGGCTGTCATCGGACCATCCCGTGGCCCCAGCCCATCCCTCCTCTGTGCCTCCACCCTTTCCCCATCCCACACACCACACTGCTTCGGGAGCTATCCCCCTAAAGTTCAAACAATCAGTTAATCCCTGCACCTTAACATTTCGAATGGCTCATGAATGCACAGAAAATCAAGGGAAGTTATTGGCCAGACACCAAAGGTCCTCAGCAGCTAGCTACCGCCCATCAGCTCCATCCTCCATCTCTGGGAGCCTGCTCCACAGCTCCAGGGCACGCTGATCTGCTCTGCCAGGAGGAGCTAAGGCTTTCTTGCACCCCTGAGCCTCTGCATGCTCTTTCTTCACTGCCTCCATATGAACTCTTTCTTACCCTTCAAGACCCAGACCAGCATTAAATTCTGACTATTTTAGTAATTAGCACTGTGTTTTGGTCCCAGTAGATACTGACCTATCTAAGGGCAAAAATATCATTTTGTCATTATATCCTGGCTTCTTGCTTAGAGAAAATAGGCAAATAAATAGAAGGGGGTTGATATAGCAAAATTCACAAATCTTCCCTAGAGAAATGCTTTATTATATATTAAGACAGTAATTATAGTATTTCTGACTTCTAAAAATAACCACAATTCCACCAAAATACTTCCATGTGATCTGTATAACAAGGTGTCGCCATATTTGAGGTTCTGTCTTCTTACACCCAGTATGTGATTTTGGCCACATTTTTTGGTTTAGGGTCAGTCTCTTTCCATTAAAAAAATTTTTTTTTATCTTCATAGTAAAAAGTTTAAATTATCTTAATTTCTTAGTTCCTCACTCATTCATGGCATCACCTAATAATATAGTCAAGATGTATAAGTTATAGCTTCTACTTTTAAGAAAAAAAGCATGTTTTGATAGACCTTTTGTGCAAGGAAAAGTAATACTACAACATTCTTTAACTTTTTCCCATTAAATTTACTATGCTTATTTTTAAAAGAGTTAATTAAAATTATATCTTTTCCGTTATGAGACACACAATGAACTACATACAGTCACAAAAATTTAAATCTGGCGAACTGAGGATTTCAAAAAGTCATTACATGGCATCCCACATCCTGAAATAATTTTGTTGACAAATGTTCACAAAGACATCACTAAATTTTATTAGAAATTTCCATGCCTTTAAAAAAAAGAGAGAGAAAGTCACAAAATCAATCTCTCCTTGAAGAGAAAGGAGGGAATTCATTGAACAACTGTTCATTAAACACTATGCTCAAAACACTATGTTCAAATGCTAAGAACTATAGGGCACATTGAGACAGGGAAGGCACTTCACTTCCCTGTTCCCAAGGGAGACAAGACAAGATGAATCACTACAATATAACCCAGTATGATGTATCACAAGAGGTCCAAAATGCTGTAAAACAAGACATAGATACTACGTTCAGTTGTGAGATCCAGGAAATTCTTGCAAAGAATAAGATAAAAGACCAGAAGAATAAATTTATTGAAAACAAAGTTGAGAAAAATGTCATTCCAGGCAGATAACATGCAAAAAACAAGGACCTGAGACAGAAAGTGTGAGGTCACTTTGGGGTGCTGAAGGTGGTCTCTTAAAGCAGGACTTCAGCTCACCTCTCAGTCCTTGGTCCTGCTCACTCTGTTTCCCATGTTTCCTTCCACCTCATGCAAAGGCAGTAAAATAAAGGCTAAAACACAAATGCCTTCCTATTCCCAAAGGATTCTGAGCTCAATCCAGGGGGCAATGAATAAGAATTGAAATATTTTTTAGCAGAGGTCCTAAAAGGGCAAGTCCTAATTGCTTGGGGAAATGATTCTGGCAATAACATATAGAAATGGAAAGGAGAGACTATATATGGTAATAGGACTAAGGTGAGGATGTTGAATTCATTGTTGCTAAATGTTTTGGTAATAAACTGAAATATTACAATAAGGAGTTTGATTGATACTGCTCCCACTGTACCTAAAGTCCCATATAAAGTAGATACTTAATTCCAAAAAAACAGTTTACAACCCCATTTTAATTTTCTCTTTGGAATAAATTCTTCTTTGTAATCAAAAAGTCTGACTCTATTTTTGATGTTTGACCACTGACAGCTTTCAAATCCCACCACTTCGCCTTTTCCCCCACATCTGTGCAAGCTGTTAAGAAAGCTGGGGGACTCCTTCCTTTGTGCTGGCAGGGACCACACAACCATGCAAACCTCTCCCCATGCACAGGAGCCCTCACCCCAGCCCCACTCCTAACCACAACAAAACCCAAAGCCTCTCACCCTTTCCTTCACTCAAGATGAACAGCCCAGTTTGGGAGCCACCCTGCTCTCCCCCAATCTGTGAGTAATAAATCTTTTCATATCCTCGTGATGTGTGTGTGGCACCATATGTCTTGACATCCAAGCCCATTTTGGGCAGGTGTGGGAGGGAATGACCCCACTCTCCAAGGAATAACCACAGACACTCCAAATAGTAAACTACTGTGATGTCTTGACTATACCTAGATTGGAGGCATAAAGATACAAAAAAAGAAGCATAACAGAAATACTGAAAGGGTTCCTGAGCTTCAGAAACCACTCAAAGAGAGATGCCCCTTCAAAATTAAATGCCTTATGGTCTAAAGGTCAACTCAATATTGACCACACTGGGTGGTCATATACGTTCGCTCTAATAACTGTAACCAACTTTAAAATGATTCAGTGTGCACTTGGTAAATGCTTCTCTCAGCCTCTCCCCACTGGCTAACTCCTAAGTCACTGTCATAGGAGCTGTGTGCCTAAGTCTTCCATAATCATTTGCTTTTTGATTAGGAGAAATCTCTACACAAGTTGTGAGACACAGTTAAACATCTCCCTTTCTTAAAGCTCCGAGTTAAGGTGCTAGGGCCGCTGAAAGGCCGCAATGAAAAGGCACACATAGTTACAATCTTCAAATACCACTTTACTTATAAACCAAAGGATAATCTTGACTTGTGCACAGTACAGAATATATTCCTGTTTCTTTTCAGTCATACCTACGTATATCTCAAGGCCATGAACATGGAAAACAGTGTCTTCCTCAGAAAGAGTTTAGAAAATCATAATATTAAGTACTTACACATCTTTGGCTGCTCCTGCAGGGCCTGGGAGGCAAAAAAAGATAGGATTGCATTATGGTGATGGAATTGCTAAAAAAAATTTTAAGCCCAATCCCAATTAAAAGAATATTCTAGAAGAGACAAGTTAAGACTATGGCTTTTTAGAAGATTACTTTTAAAAAACGGAGGAGAGCAGGAAAATCATTAAATTCAAATCATTAAATTCAAATCTGCCCATTTGTAACAATTCCTATAAATTATAAGATGTAGGTTCTGAAAGGGATTTTACAGATCACCTAATCCAATCTCATTTCACAGATAAGGAAAACTGACAGGTCTGAGACATATTTTCTTTACTAAGCCACACACCTACTAAGCTGGCATCTACATGGCATTGTTACCAGACACACTATGCACTAGGCACAAAGTAAATTCACAAGACAAAATAGAGGTGATGTCCTAAATCAGGAAGTCTCAAGGACACCAGCCTAGCTCTAAAAAGAGTTAGACATGCATTTCTAACTCTGCTCCAACTTTGCTATAGAAGCCTCTCATTTCTGCTTCCCAACAACATGCCAAATATAACCCATCACTTTTAGACCCCATTCCTGTCATTCATCATAGATTCTCTGCCCACCACATGGTCCCATCTCCACACTTCCTCCTCCCAATATCCTCATCTGGGCAACATAGAACTTGGTTCCAACTTTATTACCTGCATGGCATTAAGTGTCCTTTAACCTCTCAAAACCTCACTTTCCTCTTTTGATAGGAAAAATAAAGTATCAGGACTTATTTTAATCAGCCACCAAAAATCCATGAAAATGAACATTTATTTCAGTCAAAACAAGCATGAGAAGTGGAAGAAAGTCTAGAAAGAAAGTAATATCCTGATTTTCTTACTTTTACCTTTATGGGAAAGGACAGGGCACATTGTGGGGGGCTGCTGTGGGCAGGAGCAAGGAGAGCCAGGGGCGTCGGACACTGGATCCTACGGAGTTTTACCAAGACAAGCAAGCGGAGATCATAGTGTGGGCTGTGAGTCCTCAGCATTTAGAAATAAAGGGCCACCTAGGACAACCCACATGGAGAACAGAGTAGACAGAAGCCACCTCGCTCCATCTCAGGAATGGCAGAAGGGTGGTGGGGAAAGAACAGCACAGAATGGGATGGCAGAAGAGCTAAGTCAAGTCCTTGCTCTGATACCTGCCTAACAGTCACTAAATAATTCACTTTGCTTCAGCTTCTAATCCTGGGCTGATAAAGGCAGCTGAGAAGACAAAGCACAGCAATGTGTGTGAAATGACTTTCAAAACAGCAACATTTTGTCTCATCAGGACTTATTTTAATCAGCCACCAGGAACTTTCCATGCACTTCACCTTGACTGCACAGGCTCCAGGCAAGCACCCTCAGGGCCTCTTCCATGCTGGGTTCACCATCTAACATCCCAGGAGGTCCCAGGCAGAAGCTTGATCTTCTGCATAGAAACAAACAGACCCTTTGCCCACACTTTGACATGCCCTCTATACCACTGTGTAGAACTCATTGGAGGTCAGCACACAGGAACTGTTTTTTTTTTTATTAAGAGAAAGGAATAATATCAGAAAAGAGTACCTCCATAGCTGATCATCTGACACCCTTTAAGTGATCAACATTAAGGATATTTAAAGCATGCATTAATCTTTGATTTACCAATTGTTTTATCCTATCAAGGAGTAATCCCCCTTTTCTTTTTTTTTTTTAATCTTTAATCTACGCTTACATGAAGAATACTATGTTTACTATGCTCTCCCCTATATCAGGTCCCCCCTAAAAACCACCTTACGGTCACTGTCCATCAGCATAGCAAATGATAAAGCTAGCCAGCTGCAAGATACTGTATCAGTTCAGTGATTTTAAGGAGATACGTGAGACATCCTGGCTCCTATAGCAGGTGTCCTTCGCAATCTAACCATTCTTACAACTTAAGAAAAGCAAGTGGTACTGCCAGTACATTTTCAATATTGTTCAGATTCATACATTTATTATGAGTTTCCTCACACATGTCAAATTTTAATATAAAGAAAACATTACTCTCTTTTAAAAGAAATGGTACATATATTTTTGCATTTGAAAAAAAATAGCCTATTAATGCCTTTTCTCATCACTATTCTATATGCACTTGACAGAGTTTATGTAATATACTGATATTCACAAGTAAATAAACTGCTAAATTACTTATTAAATCATATTTCTCTCTTCAGACCAAATGGTAATAATTTAAACACACACACACCAAAAAATAGGTTTATATACAAGAAGAATTTCCAAGAAATAGTAAAGATTTACAAATCATTCTGCTAGTGAATGATCAGAAATATAAATGATTTCTGGCTCTTCCTGCAGATAATAAAATATGCAGGAATGTTTTGCTCTTTATTTGCTTCATAAAAGATAAAAGTCCCTCTAAGGACTCAATAAACACAACTACAGAAAAATAAACAAAATTCTCTTTAGTTTTGACAGCTTGCTATGTTCGTCTGACCCATAATAGTTTTAAAATTATGTTATAGTCTCAGTTTGGCCAAAAGAGGTAGAACAACAGCACTTTAGTTCATCAAAAAAAATGTTTACTTTTCAAGAAGCCAATAAAGATACAGATTCTTAAGTCATTTCTTCAGTAAAGGGGGAAAAAAATCCAGGTCAATGTGTCCTAGAAATATAAAATAATGTTAATGAATAGAAAAGCTCTAACAGAAAATCTCTGCTCATAGGTTGTCCTGGATAAGTATCTACACTTTAGGTAGGTAAAAATAAATAAATAAAAATAGCCACAAAAGTACAGATGCAGGTAAGGAACTGACATTTAGCTGTTCAATGTAAGCTATGCCCACGTTGAGCTGGAAGTGGCTCATGGCAGTGCTGGATAACTCTCTGAGGCCATCTTTATGAACCATTCATGTGGTTGCACGTCAATTCTGGGACCTGGAACCAGTGCCCTTCCTGATTGTCCCATAGTGGTATCTGCCTGAGCAGAGCTAGTGCCACATCTCTCAACAGTCACCATCAAACGAGGGGCATCAAAGAGCATACTGATCACCTGTCTTCCTACCTGGAGGTGGCAGTGTCTCCTTCCAGCTGCCCAGGCCTTAGCCACTTGGGTTCATTTTAATTCCCCACCTTCCCCCATCACAAGCAGCCCATCCTCAGCCTGCTATCTTCCAGGGGCCTCTGACATCTACGCCTGCATCACTCCAGGCCCTTGGCACTTCACCGATTCCAGACAGCAGCTTTAAATATGCCACTTCTGTGTGCTCACGGCTTCCTTCTGCACCAGTTATAAACCTCTTTCCCTATGTCAATACTAACACAGGCACTTCCACACTGAGTACTTACAAGGTAAGAGGCTCTGTTCCAAGGACTTTACATACATTAACTCATTTAATCTTGAGTACATTCTCCCATTATTACTCCCTCATTTTACAGCTGAGGAAACTAAGTTTCTGAGGTACAGTTTAAGCAAGTGGTTCAGAGACATACAATTGATAAATGACAAAATCAGAACTTAAACTGGGGCCTTTTGGCTCCAGAGCCCACTCTGAGTTCTGAGGCTTTCCTGCCTCTGTCCTCCTCGCCCCACAACCTAGCCGTGCTCACTTCTTTCCCAACACGCCCTGCCCAACATGAACTACCAAGGCCAGTCTGGCCAGACTTTGCACTACCCTGAAAAGCACTGAGCCCACATCTGTCCCTCTGATTTCATACAAAATGAAAAATGCCCTCTTTCTGTCTACCCAAACCTTACCTATTCCAAAAGCCAAATCAAGCCCCACTTCTTCCACGCAGGCTTCCCTAACTTCCTGAGGTTTTATTTCTGGTGTTCAGTTGCTGCCTCAAGCACAGGAGGCCCACACAATTTGGGGCTTGCTCTTGTATCTCCTTTGTTTCCCCAAAATACTCATTCTTTGAACAAAACAACTTTTGGGAGCCAAAAAGTTCTCCTGGAAGTCTGGATATAGATCTAGAGGCTGAGGGAACAGCTGTGGACAAGATTCAAGAGGCTCTCCTGGGGGTCTACTCCTGGGGGAAGGAAACAAAAGGGACAATAAATAAACAAAATATCAGTTCTCTGGCAACCAGTGTTTCAAACAGAGAGAAAACAACAAGAGTGAGCTCCGCATGTTTAAAGAATAAAAAGATGCGTGGTGGGGTGGGGACGTAGGTGGGGGAAGGGGCCGAGAAGCAGCACAGGTTAGAAATGAGTTCTTTGACAATATCGACACAATTCTATATTATTTCCCCAATGTGGACTAATGCTAAGCACAATGGAAGCATCCCAATACTACCAAACCATTTAGAGTTGTAAATCAAGGCTAGACCATGCAGCTACACCAAAAGAATAGAACGCACTTATCTAGCTAATTGAGGATGAGGAATTAACTAAATAGTTGGACCCAAAAGGATTATATTAACTCCCTGGGTATACCCATAAAATAGGACATATAATTATTACACTTCTCTTCCTCAGACTATTGCTATGTAAATAAACAGAGCCATCACTATAGAAACATTCTGATAATAAATTGCCACAATGTTACAGAGTCAGATGGTTGCCAGTTACATAACTCTGGTAGAAAAAAAAATTCGATCAACTACTGTAAGTACAGTACTTCTGAAATAACTCCTCTGCTCCAAATATTTCCACATTAGTCCTGAGTGGTTTGGGATGGCCGGGGGTAGCGGGAAGCGGGGGCATCCGCGCGCCCCACGCTGCCCTTCAGTCCGGGCGCGCTGCCCCCATTCCTGTCGCGCTTTTGGGTCTTTCCAAAATGCAGTCCTGCATTCCTAGGAATAGGCTATTGTAGCTATTTGAGCCATCCACACTTGTACAGGATTTTCTGGTTTACATAAAAAGGGATTTTCTAGCTTACATCACAGACTTGCTTAACAATCTGTACACATGTAACTGTATAAAAGGGAACGAGTGACCTGTTGTCACTACCTCAAATGCATTTCTCTGCCTAATTAAGGAATATGTTCAAGGCAAAACAAGAAGAGAAACTAATTGCTGAGAGAGGTGGGAGTTAAGAGCAGAGAGAAAATGCAACACCTTAAAAATGGACTATTTAAACAGATGTTTCTCTATATATAGTTTAGGGTCTAGACTCTAGACTGTACAGGGAAAATGTACTGTTTTCACTGAATGGAAAATATAAGAAGCTCCCCCCACTATGGTTCTAGGTTGGGAAAAATCTAATTCCACATCGAAAGAGTGATCTTACTAAAGCATTATAATGAAGAGAACTCTCATGTAATCGAAATGGTTCTCATGATCTCATCTAGACTGACAGCTCAACTCCTCCTGGAAGCCTTCTCTGATTAAACTGTATTATACAACATCTCCCAGGCACTTGGATGTTCAATACATATTATAATATACCTTGCTTTGCGATTATTCTCAAGTGGCTAATCTTCCTGCCTAGACTTTCACCTTCTCAAGAGCAAGAAAGTTTGATTTCATTCTACAATCATCTGCTTGTTGGCTGCCCTAGCCCCTTGCCCTCATTTCCTAGTAGAGCGCAGTGCGGTGCGCTGCACACAGAGGTGAGCTATGTACATGCTTCTAGTTAGAAATCTCCTGCAGGGGAAATCCAACCTGAATTACCTAGGGCCTGAATGATCTAGAGTCTGATTCCTTCTGGCCTTTGACCATTTTACTGCCTATCAGTTTCTCCATGTATTACACATACAGAATGAAATTTACTCAAATATAGTACTAAATAGCAATTTGTCCCATCAAGCAATTTCACCACACAAAAGCCAAAAGAGGCAGTTGTTCAAATATAGTGCGGGGAAAGGAGAGACAATTATTTGGTTTTACATAAATTACTTAGGGAGTAAAAACAGGGCTTAAAATGGAGATATCGGGTTTAAGGGGACTGTTACAATGTGCTAATGCATCCAATGAACATAGATTTGCCACGTTCTTATAGAAAAACATTTAGGGAAAGACATTTCACCTTTGACATGGTTATATTCCATTACTATATAATATATAAAGATGAAATGTCATTTCACCTTTGACATGGGTATATTCCATTACTACATAATAATTAGTTTATGAGAGCGCTTTCCCTCTGTAACTCAACAGAGTGAAATGAAATGCCCAGAGTATCACAACCAGGACAATGTCAAGTCAAGCTTAAGCCTCACTCCCCAGGCTCCAGGTTTAGCACTCTTCCCAGCACCTCTTTCTGTGCTTTTCTTTCCCCCCCCAACCCCGAAATGTTTTCTTCCTGAAATAAAGTATGTCTATTAAATTATATGACTCCTGGAACATTTGAGAAGTTGTGCACTCTAAGTACCTGGAGGACAGGGACGCCATCTATTAATGCATTCATACTGCTTGGGTTCAGTGCCACAAGTCGGCAGCTTGGTCAACAGCATATTTGATGTTGATGTCAAAGTTCATTTTCTTACTTACCTCTCTCATCCTGACGCACTCCTTTTCTGAAACTAAAGCCCTACCACCAGCTGACAGAAAATTTCAAAATAACAATGACCAAATCCCAAAGCTGGGCAGCTGGACTCGGCAGTAAGGAGATGTTCGAGGAATGACTTCTCAAAGACAAGGGCAAATCAGTCACAGAGGCAATGCACTAACTGCCTCCTCTCATAATGTTTTCCAGTCTGCACTGGCTATCTTGCTCTCCTCTGGACATAAAGTAATTTTTAGCAAAGAGCAAGATAGAAGAGAGAACAACATGCTCTTACATGAGCCATCCTTCATAAACAAAAGGGAAGCTACTCATCAAGATAGGCACTTTGAGTGTTTTTTTCAACAGAAGTGTACTTCCCTTTACATAATAAATGCTCCTAGGGGGGGGAAAGAAAAGGTCAAGCAAATACTTACAAAGAATCATATTTTCCCATTTTCTTACATTAAAACATTAACAGTACCTTATCATCATCCTGAGTTAGCAATAGTACACTTCTCTATTCCCAAATCTTGACAAGCAGTCCATTAATAAACCAAAACACAAATGAACCTAGCTCCAATTTAAAGGAAATCTGTTATAAATCCTTCCTATGATTTTTTTGTAATGTGGATAATTGTTCTTAACCTTTTTGCAAGTAGAGGGCATAAGTACTGGACTGCATGGTAGACTGAGAGATACAATGCGTGGTGTGGGAGGTGGTCTTAACACTGCTCCAGTTCCACACAGGGCGCTCTGGCCACTCACAGGTAAGCATGCTGTCCTTGCCCGTGTCAGCATAAGGCATAGGCTCTAAGAGAACGAACCTGTGTCACTGTTAACAAGAGTCAAAAAGATTTGTTCCCTGCTGGGTCTCTGCATATCCTAAGGATAGGAATCCAATTCAAGAAGATAAAGGTTACCTGTTAGAAACAAACTTTTCAATGAATCATTACCTAGGCTCAGGCACAACAATTAGCACTAGAATTCCATATATTGCAGCACCTTCTTTTGAAAGGGAATATATTTCACATGTGCGGTCAAGACAGAAGAAAAACAAACTTGGCCAATTAACAGAGCAGATTTCCCACATCTGATCCCATTATGTGAACATAAATATAAACTTCAAAATAAATAAAGCTTGAATTTTAAACTACATCTTCCACCGAGGTTTGGGTTAAAGAAAGTGACAGGCCCAAGGTCACGAAATTATTGACAGGGCATCCATGCCTTTCTGCCTGGGAAACACTGCATTATCAGATCGCTGCTTGCACATGCTGGTCGAAATAGGATGTGGCATTTGATTTATCTGAACTGGAGAAGATAAAGGTGTTCCTTATGCAAAAGGACATTAAGATAGGTCAGCAGATACTACTCAGAACAGATTCAGACTCTTAATTCTGGGGACATTAGCGGGGTTAATAGGAAGGGGTGAGTTTTAGAATAAGCCACTTGATACAAAGCTTGGCTAGCAGGGAATCTAGATCTCGCCTACCAATCAACAAAATGAAGTGGTATGAAAGAAGTTTCAGTATTTTTTTTTTTAGTGCAAAATAAATGAACAGATCCCTGTTCATACCAAAGCCGTCACACATAGCTAAAGCATCCTTAATACTGCAGCTTCTCAGAGAAATCCTACGAGCAGCCCAGCCGGTCTTGGGCTTCAGGGCAGACTGGGGTGAATTTTCAGAGCCCTGTTTGCAGTTCTCAACGCAACTCGCAATCCCCAGTCCCATCCCCATCACCAAAAAAGTCCTGAATTGCTCTGCAGCACTTTCCCAGGTGCAGCGTCGGGCCCCGAGGGCTGGGGGCTAGGCCCGGGTAGGGGACGAGTGTGGGAGGAAGGGAGCGGAGGCGGCCGCCGCAGGGAAGCCTGCCCGCGGGGATGAAGCCCAGCGCACCCGCCGCAGGGAGCCCCGCCGCCAGCCCTCCCCGCGCCCCCTCCGCAGGATCGCCCCGCAGGCTCTCCCCGTCCCGGCGCGCCCGCCCCCACGCGGGGGAAGTGTCGCGCTCTCGGTCTTTCCAAAAGCTGGCGGTGTGCTCCTGTCCCGAAAATGGGGACGGGGAAGGAGCTGCACGCCCGCCCTCCCCGGGTCCCGGCGCCCTCCCTCCATCCCCCTGCGCTCACCTCGGCCGGCTCCCGCGCTGGCGGCGGTGGAGTTCCCGCAGCCCATCGCGCCGCAAGCAGGGGAGCCGCGCTCGGAGCCGGCGGCCGCACGTCCTGGGGGCGGAGACGGAGGCGGAGGGCGGCGCGCCCCGACGGGAGGCCAGAGGGGGCGCGCGGGGGCCGCCCTTCCCGCCACCGCGGGGCGAGGGCCGGGGCGCGCCGGGGCGGAAACCCCCGGCCTCCCCAAACCACCAACCCCACCCATGGGGTCCCCGCCAGACCCACCCGTCACCTCGGCAACCGCGCGGCCGGCCAATCCGCAGCCTCCTGCGGGCTCCCCGGCTGGGCATTGGTCGTCGTTAAGTGGGGGCAGAAGTTAAAACAGGGTTTGGGGGCGAGGGCGAGGCTGAGGGGCTTGGCCGGCACAGGCGGGTTGGTGGGGCCGAGGTGGAGGGGCTGAGGGTACCCTTTTGCTCACTCTGCACACACTCTTTGCCGTTTCTTCCGCACTTGCCCTCCCCTCCAGGATGTGGGGAGAAGAGGAAGTGACGGGGGACACCTGTTTTGTGCCCAGTTGGGCACCCAATAAATGTTATTGACTGAATGATGCTCAGGTCTGAATTCCGCTGAAATCCATTTCTGCTTTGGTGGCCCATCTACCTTGGCTAGTAAAGAACGTAAAGTCCTCCCCAGGTTGGTCATGGTCACCTAACTCCACTTTAAAGGTCTCCTGCAATTTCGATAACCTGGATCCAGGACCTTCACTCATTTAACAACAGAACTGAATTTACATGGCACCTCTCAGCCTAATGGGCAAGTGTTACTGGAGTCAGATTGTCTGAGTCACAGTTCCTGCTCTGCTCCGTATCAGCTGTGTGACCACAGTGAGGTTACTTAACCCATTAGTGTTCTGTTGTTTTACCTGTAAAATGGCAATAACAACTCAGTACACGTAAAGCACTCAACACAGTGCCTGATCCTAAATAAATGCCAGGTGTTCTTCTCCTTAAATCTTCTAGACGTGAATACTGATCCCGGAAGATAAGGGCTATCTGATTTATCATAATGTCCTCCTGGTTCCAAGTATGAGCTCAATAAATGTTTTGTGAGATGAATTCAAGCCAGGAATTAAATCTCCATTCTGAATCCATTTAGTATTTATAGACATCCTAGCCTCTGCCAAGTCCTTTGTTAAAATTAAGTTCCAGGGATACAAACATGGGGAGACAGTCTAACCAGGCAGACAAACAAATGAATTACAGTATAACAGGGATGTGAACAGAGGAATACAGGGTGCTTGGGGGGCCCAGAAGAAGCTGGGATACTGGTCAAAAGACTTTCCTAAAACCATACAGCAGATTTAGAGAGAACCTTGAACCAGAACCAAGGCCCTGGTGGATTGTTGAGCATGAACTTTGAGGCAATATTGAGAACTGAGTAGTCCTATTGTTCAGGATACAAAAAGTGCACCATCTCCCATTTGGAAATTAAATACATTTGGGTGTGTGCTGAGATGGCAGTTGATTCTTGGGCAAATAAAGGTGTTTTGAGTTGTTTGATTTCTGGAAGGAAGTACTTCTCTACCTTGGCCTCCACCATCTTGATGCAGTGGCTGCCCACCTTCAAATCCAGAACTGTCAGAGGAGGCAGGTGAGGGGGACTATCAAACAGCCAAAAGAAATGCTCTTGTTTATTTCCACGTGACACTGGACTCCAGCCCTAGGACACTTGTAAGGAAGGGAAAAACAGTCCCTGAAACTGTCCTGCCACTCACAGCTAGGCCTTTGTGTTGCAGTTACACAGAACACCAGTATCAGACAAGGCCATTCTATAACTGTGATGAAGTGAGACCAAAAATAAGGCCACTCAATAATTCTGTCTACATATAACAAAAAAAAATGTCACTGGCAAACCACAAAAACAAAACATCACTCAGTCCTAGTGAATATGAATGGCTGCCTTTTTTTTTGCCATTATTGTTTTACCCTATTCCTGTCTTCCTGCTTATAGGTGAAATATATTAAGAATATCTCATCATAGAATTATCTCTACTTCCTGACATCTAATCCAAAAAAAAAAAAAGAACGTTCTGCTTTCCTAAACCCCAACCAAAATCATCTAACTCGAACCCAAATCCTCTAAGTTCTTTTCTACCACCCTGTGCCTGAGATGGGTCGTGGTCCCTCATGGTGTGCATTCTATTTCACTGCAATGAGCAAGAAGCCCAACTTCTTCAGCTACTGGTATGCTCCTGGTGGTCTTAGATTGGAGGACATGGACCCTTGTAATATGCACTCTGCCTTACAAGGTGTAGGGTGTTTACCTGTCCATTCTCTCCACCAACACAGCTGAGCATCTCCTTTGTGCCGCTGCTTTTCTATATGCTTGAGTGTGACAGTAAACAAGGCACAGAGGAGAAATCTACTAGGAAGAAAGAGACCAAAATCAAACGGAAAGATAATTTAAGATACAATAAGTGGGATGGAAACAAAATGAAGCAGGCACAGGAATAAATGACCAGAGGGAGAGGGAGAGGTGCTATTTTAGGTAGGATTGTCAAGGAAGTCCTCTCTGAAGAACAGGTATTGTGGCTGAAGTCTGACTGATGAGAAGAAATCAGACATGTGAAGACCTAGGAAAGAGCATTCCAGGCAGAGAGAATGGCAAGTGCAATCACCCCAGAGGCAGAAACATGACGGGTGTGTCTCACAAACCAAACAAATGGCCAGGATGGCTAGGCTAGGGCAGAGATGGAAGAGGGGAGTCAGAGAGGCAGGCCAGACCACACTGGGTGTGATGGGCTTCATAAGGAGCTGTGATTTTATTCAAAAGGCAATGCAAGTCATTTGATGAGTATTTCATGTATGAAAAGTTCCCAATAAAGTGTCAGGCACACAGTAAGCCCTCCATAATGTCACTTTTCTCCCTAATGTGGAGTATCACCTTTTTCCTTTTTAGGAATCTATTTTTATAGACAGCAGTTAATTGCATTTGGATGTTTTCAAAAACAATGAGTCAAAAGAAAATCATAATGTGTGTCTCATTTCCTGACTGGTCAATTTTAGCTTCTTTCTCTGTTCCAGTTATATCATGCTGTTTAGCTGTTGTTCTCATTCTTCAAACAAGAACTGATGTGGTGTGAAGGAGAGAGAAGTGTGCGACTGAAATTGGTCTGACAAGGAAAAGCAAGCAAGATGCAGGAGAAATGGAGCTAAGGAAGTCTCAAATTTTCACAGTTTTTCTTCCATAAAGGACTCCCCAGCCTGAGTTTTTATATTTGTTTTTCTCTTTCACCCTATTGACATGCTGAAAGATGGCTACTTCAGCACTGGATAGCTCATCCATGCACAATACCCAGCAACAAAAAGGGCACTTTTCTTTCCTTCATGTCCCTTTTAAAAGCCAGGAGGTACCCAGAACACTTCCTCTGCCCCTTCTTGATCCAACCACTGGGAACAGTAACTAGGAGGGTTATAATTGGCTCTGATACGTTACAGTTTACCTCTAAGTCATGACAGAACGTTCAGGATAGACACCTTAACAAAATTTGGGCTCTATTGGCAAAAAAAAGGGGGAAGGGATAATTAGTATCTGTTTAATCAGTAGTTGGTTTAGGTATTATAAATGTGCCCCAGTATCTAATTTTCTTCCGGCTTAGGCTTCCTACCCCCTTGAAGATGAGCAGGGATATATGATTAGCTTTGACCAATGAAATGTGAGTAAAAGTGAAACAAGACTTAGAGGCTCTATGAGTTTTGGTCTTCTGGGAGTCAGGAGTTAGAAATTTAATGTGAGCAATGACTGAAAGATATAGGGGAGAGGGGTCAGGAATAGGCAGGGAAAACCTTCAGGCTGCATTGCTGGTCTGACACCCATGGAGAGAAATAAGGAGTGAGACAGACAAAGAGAATGGGCAGGAAGAAGCTCAAGTTGCAGCTCTGAGAAAGTCCTGGCCAAGAACAACGGGAACTTCAAAGGCAGACAGCCTGGAAGGGTAGTCCCACATTGGGCAGAGATGGCCAGACCCTAGTGACTCCACTGGGCTGAAGGCTGTCCAGAGAGCTCTTAGCCTCGACTTGAACACAGCAGCAGATCCCAAAGGTGCCAACAGCTGGGGGTTGTTCTTCATTCCTCACAGTGGGCTGTCTCTTCAGAGAACTGCCCAGGAAGAAGCTCTTTATTGAGAGTTCTAGATTCCCTGGTTGCCAGGATCCTGGAAGCACACGTGGAGGTGTTACATCCTCCATCAGCCCAGATCCCTAAGTCACTACATCACCCAGGGCTCCACCTGTGCCAGCAATGGGCCTGCACCACAAGTAGGAAGGAAACTTGTGTTGTTAAGCCACTGAGATGTTGCGATTGTGTTATGGCAACACACCATGTAATATCAAAACAGGGCATAGCCTTTCATAATGTATCATAACACAGATACAGTTACTACCTGTGTCTACTACAGTATACATCTTGAAATGTTATTGCATAACATTGATGTAGCCTTTCCTTGTGGTGATTTTAATCTCTATTATATCTGTGGGTTTGCCCTTTTTGCCTTCCCATCGTGTTTATTTGGACCTTGTTATCTTGATTAGTCCTGCTCTAGAACTACTTTTTTTTTTTTGAGTTTTCAAAGTCACTTTTAAGTTTTTTGATCATCAATTTTCTGTTTCATTTTTAATGCATTTATTGCCAGCCCATCATTATTTTCTTCTTTCTAATTTCTTTGCATTTACTCTGTTATTTTTATAACTTCTTGAGTTAAATGCCAAACTCATTTTTAAGTCTTTCTTTCTTCTCAGTATTGCTATGATGCATCCCAAAAGACTGGATATTTTGTGACTGTTGTTCAGTTATAAATACTTTATAACTTCTGTTATCTATTAATCTGCGAATCACTGAGAACTATTTGTTTCCAAATGAATTTCTTTTTACAATGTATTAATATTTTACTTTCAATTTTAATTTGCCTTGGAGAGAGTTAACACTATGAAACTAATGATTTGAAATATATTGGAACTCCCCATCATTCTCCATGTTGAATATGTCAACATGTTTCAAAACTTTTTCTTATGGCACATGCTACTTTTTCAGCCCATAAATGACATTTTTAAAAGGCAGCATTGAATATATATATATGTCCTATCTTTCCAATTAAACTATTAGCTCCTTGAGGTCAGAGATGGTATCCTACATTTTTTATTTCCTTACTGCACTGTGAGAGCAGGTAAAATGTCTTTGTGTGAGCGTAAATGGAGGGGAGTGAGGAGAGGAGAAACAATCATTATACAAACATGTTCAGCCCAACTACCATTATTAATCCTCAGGCTGGTTTTTCAAGACAAGTTACATCATCTTTTTGAAAACAATAAAGAATGAGATTTTTGAGCTCTTGCCAGGGGTCAGGCACAATGCTCACTACTTTTCATGAATGCTCTCACTTAATACTCATAAAAGCCCTAATGGGTAGATTCATCTGGATGGGTCACAGTCTTCATAGGAAGGCTGGGAACCAGACCC